ACTGCTGCTGCACACTCTGCTAGGGGGTTTATCCCCAAACACTAACAGATATTACCAAAAAAGAAAGATGAATCCAGCAGCTGCCATTTGGACCCCAGGCCCACCAGCAGAGCCAGGTCTTCTGGCTCTTGCAGAAGGATAGAAGCGTGGCAGCACATCTTATCTTACCAATTTTCTTACTCAACTGCCGCCACCATTACAGTAGCCTGCACAGTCTGGCTGCCTTAGCCAGAATCAAGAGCAAAGGAAGTTGGTGCTTGGTATCCCTTAACTTCCTTTAATAAACACTTTTTTGGATTATAAGATCATTCTGCAATGGCTCCTTTTCAGACTCCACAACAGGCCAGGTTGTCTTCTTCCTCCCAAAACGTTGCTTACACGTATGCCTGTTCTGTCCATTGGGATCGCCTGATTTTCTGGCCTATTTGCTATTCTCCTTCTCCTTGTTGCCTGGTGAAGTGGAAGCCTGGTATCATAACTCCTGTTAAGTCTCTCAGTCAGCACATTAAAATCTCTGTATCTTAAAGCCTTCTGCTTATTCTGACAATCAACATTAGGGAGTCCTTTTCCACAGAAACCTAGTTTGCCTTTACCAAATTCTTTTTCGTCTTTCTCCTCACAAGGGATAACATCTGGGAATGTTGCAACTTTAATTTCCAGTTGTCTGAAGACATTTCTAAACCTTTTTCTCCCTCAGCCAACAACTGTAAGCCTTACGCATGGATCCAGACCAAGATGTCACCAGGCCTCAAAATTTCATCCCAGGGCAAGGCCATTGAAAATGCTGTTCCCACCTACAATATAAAGTTGGCTAAGGCTCATGAGATAGTTTTAAACTTCCAGAGAAGTCAGATTCCAGTTCATCTGTGGTCTCCACAGGAATATTGCTCAGGTCTGAATCGTATGAATGCTGCCATTTTGATTGCCATGCAACTAATCTGTCTGGCACCATCCTGCAGTGGCATCTTGGCGGCTGCCTCAGGCTTTCTATGAGAGAAGGACTTGACTGGACAAAGCCTGTGTAAGAATGCAGCTGATTCAGGTGAGATGGGCAGAATCCAGATGCTTCTGGGGCCAGCGACTGGGTGGAAGAAGCGCTGTTAGGCAAAGAACAGTTCTGGAAGCAGCTGCACTTTCCAAATCCTTGGTAAATGCGCAATCTGGCAACCAGTGGCTTGCCAATGTTAACCTCCTTTCTTTCATCCACCGGGTCCTCCAGTCCCATGTATTCATAATGCAGGCAAACAGTGAATGTTAAATCTTCCTGCGATTGAAAGAGAGAATTAATGCTAATGGAATGAATATTGTTGTAAATTTTGATTATTGCTTTACAAAGATATTATACTCGGACGACATACTGTTTAATTGAAGATGGAATTATTATACTAAAAAAATTAATAAAAAAGAGAGACATTAATAAGATAGATAGATAGAATTCTTTATTGGCCAAGTGTGATTGGACACACAAGGAATTTGTCTTGGCGTAAATACTCTCAGTATACGTAAAAGAAAAGATACATTCGTCAAGAGCCGAGAATCATAAGGTACGACACTTAATGATAGTCATAGGGTACAATAAGCAATCAAAACATACTAGGAAACAGTCAATATAAATCATAAGTAAATATACTAATGAATTACTGCCAGGCATTCAACCCAACGGTAATGATTGCAACCAAACGATCCCTGTATTCCTATCATGAAATTTACAAGAGGAAGACATTTTAAAAAGGATACTGGCCATCTAACTGTCAATCCTGAAGCTAGCCTGAGCGAGGCCAACTTGGAGGATTTAGTGCTATCATAATGGTGCTGAGGGATAGGGAGGGGGGAATAGAGATAGTGGGGGTTTTGTAGTCAAAGCGAAATAGTCTCCCTTGTGAACCAAGGACATTCCCACAGGTAGCTGAAGAGAGGAGGAGTGATGTTTCCAAGCAACCGGACAGCACCTTGATTGGACCATGTGACAGATTGCTTGGGAAAGGGGGAAAACTTTTATTGTTAATTAGGTGAAAACCACAGGAACCTTTAGAGTCGATTTTCACCAGCTTGTGCCCATATGATATATCCAATAAATGTATTTTTGGAGGAAACTTCTAATGTTCTGCCATCACCATGTTATGCTAGATCAGGGGTCTCCAAATCTTGCAACTTTTAAGACTTGTGGACTTCGACTCCCAAGGGGGTTAAAACTCCACAAGTCTTAAAGTTGCCAGGTTTGGAAAGCCCTGCACTAGTTATCAGAGATAGATATGAAGGTCTTATTTGGCTTGCTCTCCACTAGAGAACAAAGGAATTGACCGACAAAGGAATTTCACAGAAATAATTTGGCTTGAGAGGTAGACATTCCATGGAAAATCAAATCAAGAGCTAAATATATTTTTCCCCATCCAGTGTGACTCAAGGTAGATCAGTTTTCTCCAAAATGAGGCCCCTTTGGAGTACACAATTACAAACTCCAGTAGTCTCATACAGGGAAATTTGTGCTGGACCACCAGCCATTAGGGTGATTTGCAAATCAAATTACATTCTTTTTTCTGCTAAATTCACACTGCAGTTTCAGTGGTCAATTTCTTCATTCGAAATAGTACAGGGAGTTCTTGACTTATGACCACGACTACAATAAGAACTTCTGTCCTTAGGCAATGAAGTCATTAAGTGAGTCATTACATGACCACACCTGATTTTATGACTTCTTTGCCACAATTGTTAGGTGAAACTTATTCACCACAATTGTTAAGCGAAACCAGCTTTCCCTACTGATTTTGTTGGAAGCTGGTTAGAAAGGTTGAAAAAAGGCAATCAGGATACCACAACTATAGTAAATATCTGTTGGTTGTCAAGTGCCTGAATCATGATCATGTGATTGTGGGGACTGCAACAGTTTCAGTACATGGACCATCATAAATAATATTTTAAAGTGCTATTGTAACTTTGAATGGTGCTAAGCTAATGGTTCTACGTTGAGGACTACCTGTTTCTCAAATTAAACTTCATTCCCAAATCATTTCTCAGCCCTATTTAAGACTTGTTACAGATGCCGGTATCTCCTACTATTTTTTTTCCAGCAACTTCCCTGTACCGTTTTGTTTTACTTTTCTAGGGACCATTGACCCACATTCAATGAATGAAACATGAAACATTTGCAGTTTGGTAGCCTTCAAATACCCCACCTTTTTTTCATTTCATGATCTATAATCCCTGTTATCGGGATGGAGTTGGGGTGACAGAATGGAACTGAGCGTTTACTGGCTGGATGCCCTTCTTGACACCTATGCGGACTTCACAGCAACTATTTTCTCTTTGCACCCTGATAGAGAAACATCTGTCACTGCCCAGGATTGAACTCTCAATCTTCTGAGTGGTAGGCAAGCATCTTCACCTCTAGGCCACCCTTCCGCTCCTTCAACATACATACTCTGCTTTTAAAGTTGCAAGCATAGGATAATCTTTGTGGGTCTAAACTCTAAACAGTAATTGAATGGCATTGCTGCTACTCAGGGAATGTACAAATATAAGAAAGCAAACCAAATTTGCCTGCAAGTAATTACCTTTAGCTTCTGTAGTGAACTTATTCTAGTGTAGAGGCAGTGCTTCGGCAAATCTTTTGAAAGCAAATAGCTGCCAGTTTCCTCAGGAGTTCCTTTATTGGCCTCTTTAGGATCCACATCCAATTCCTGTGAACATTTAAAACAATAAAATGAAAATGAGGAGGTGGTTAGATTTTTGAACTCCCCCCTCCATTTCTATCCTATATATCAGGGCTCAACAAACTTGGCAACTTTAAGACTTCGCAGCATGGCTGGCTGTGGAATTCTGGGAGTCGAAGTCCGCAAGCCTTAAAGTTGCCAAATTTGGAGAGCCCTGCTTTATATCATGTCAAGTTGTGTTTCACGTTAAAAGCATGCTGTTTCTGTTTTGTACACATAGCCTTCCAAGCAATAAATGTGCCATCTTCTGAGACTAACTTACAAGAGGAAAATCAGTGACGTAAGCGTTGCAAACGGCTATTTCAGGCGGCTTCTTTACGATTCTGGTGTAGATGATCATGACGTTGGAGAATTCTGCAGCAAAACCAAGCTGAATCCGAACCCCGCATTGAAACTGAAGGTACATACTTTCAGAAAGTTCTGGAAATAAGCACATTTTGGAAGGCGGTGATCCATACCTGTTACTCTTCAGAAACAGCTCTGCAAACATGATCTTCCCAGAATTTCAGAAGTTTATTTTAGTAGTTCCACAGTTGCAGATATAGGGAAGTGGTTTCCAACCGCTGGAAGATGCTATTGTATATTTTTGTACCTTGCCCTCTAATCCACTGTTCTTTTTTCCTCCTAAAATATGGGCCCATATTGAAAAAAAAAACCACCTTGTTTTTCGTTTACTTAACAGCATCCTAAATCAACCTGTCATTCCCTTCAGCAGAAATGAACAACTATGGTGCCTTTATGACCTGTGGACTTCAACTCCCAGAATTCCTGAGCCAGCAATTCTGGGAGTTGAAGTCCACAGACTGTGAAGAGGCCATAGTTGCTCACCCCTGCCCTTGAGGGTCTCTAAAGCACCTGAACGCCAGACAAGGAATAATGGATGGAAACTGAACAAGAGAGATTTAACCCGGAAATAAGGAGAAACTTTCTCACAGTGAGAACAATCAACGAATGGAACAGCTTGCCTTCGGAAATTGTGGGAGTGCCATCACTGAAGGCTTTCAAGAAGAGATTGGGCTGCCATTTGTCAGAAATGGTGTAGGGTCTCCTGCTTGGGTAGGGGATTGGACTAGATGACCTACAAGGTCCCTTCCAACTCTGATTATCTGTTATCTGTTAAGTGTTGCCTTGTAGGAATAACAAGTGATAATTAGCAAATCTGAAAATAATTAAGAAAAGTGGGGAAATCATAGCTAGGAACTATATTTAATTGTTTAGGGCGGGTGTAACATTGGAGAGGGACCAAATACAGGTAGCACTCAACTTACAATTGGTCTCTTAGCAACCATTTGAAAGTATGACAAACTTCCCCATTTTGTGCCCAGGGTCCAAAGTTCCAATGCTCCCCCCTCCCCCCTGCAGTCACAATGACTGCATTTCAGGAGCTTGGCCTGTATTTAGGGCCAACTGCAGCATCCTGCGGTGATATAATCACGATTTACATTTTTGCTGAAAATTGGCATTTAATTCCAGGTTTTGGTAAAATGCCCCATAGAGAATGGTTTTGTTTAACAACTGTGGTGATTTGCTTAATGGCCTCTGCAAAAAAGGTCATAAATCAGGCTGGTCAATGGGTGACCTGCTTTATGACCGTGATAACTTGCAGCTATAAGGGGCCGGCTCCCTTGTGGCCTTAAGTCAAGGACTTAAATACAAGTATTGCAGAGGTGGGGGATTCTGTTTATAAAATTTTTATTAAAGATTAATAAAAACTTTGTTGCAGTTTTTCCATCCCAAATAGACAGGAAGCCAAAATTCAGAGGTGTACACGGGGGAGAGGACTGGGTATAACCAAGAAAGTTTGGGTGGATGGAGGGAATAAAACAATTGCCAGCTCTTTAGTTACGGGATAATACTGGTAAATTAAGCAAGGAAATAGTGACATACAGTATATTTCATTTCCTTTGCTCTTTTCCTCTATCTGTTCTGACCTCTGTACTGTGAGAAGCTAATTCATTTGAAACAAATAACCTAATTCTTAAAGTATGTATTTCAGGGACATAAGGGCTACAGAGTTAGTTACTTAATTTGTATCCTGCTTTTATTATTCTTACAAATAACTCGCGGCAGCAAACGTATCTAATAAACCATTGTCTCTTATTTTCCCAACAACAACAACAACCCTGTGAGGTGAGTTGGACTGAGAGAGACTGGTCCAAGGTCATGGCTTTCTCATGGCTAAGTAAAGAGGTCATTTTCCCATGTACTGTACCATGCGCTTTCGCCCACTGTAGATTCCGTGCCAAAGCTTCTGCTGAGGTTACAGTTTGCTGAATAGGATCAGTTAACGCTCTTTTTTCAGATAAGCTGCTGCGAATCTCCAAAGCTTGCTTGCCTTTGGTAAGATGACACTTTCCCATATCTAAAAATAAAAGAAAGAAAAAACCCCACATGCTTATTTTGATTAATAATTATCATGCTCTTTCTTCCCTCTGAAAAATATTTATTTGGTACAATAATTTTCATAAACTGCTAATTAATTTCTATGCTGCTGACCTTAAGATTCTAGGTAATACACATTATCATGAAACAATATGAAATAGGTATCCCAGTTGCCTCAATTCAGACAATTTAATAGAAGTAGAATTCTTTTTTATTGGCTAAGTGTGATTGGACACACAAGGAATTTGTCTTGGTGCATAGGCTGTCTGTGTACATAAAAGAAAAGATACATTCATCAAGAATCATAAGGTACAACACTTAATAATAGTCATAGCGTATAATAAGCAATCAAATAAAATAGATGAGGGTCCCAGCATACAGCTTAAGACATCAAATCCCTGTTTAAAATGGACTTTCCAACTTTTTCTTGAAGGTCAGAGGAGAGCTAGACATACAAGTCATCCTCAACTTACAACCACAATTAAGCCCAATATTTCTTCTGCTAAGCAAGGCAGTTGTTCAGTGAGTTTTGTCCCATTTTGCAACTTTTCTTGCCACAGCTGTAAAGTGAATCATTCTGTCATGAAGTGAATCTGGCTCTCCCCATTGACTTTGCTTGTCGGAATCTCGCTGGGAAGATGGTTACAAATGGGGATCACATAATCTCGTGCAATAAATTGTTGCCAAGCACCCAAATTTTACCTGGTCATGGGGATCAGTGGTGGGATTCAACATTTTTACTACCGGTTCTGGGGGTGGCGGCTGGGTGGGCGTGGCAGGGGAAGGTTACTGCAAAATCCTCATTCCCTCCCCACCCCACTAACCTGCTTTCCAGCTCTGTTCTCCTGTGCAGGGCAACAAAAGAAGACCCAGCCGATCAGCTGGGATTCAGGAGGCAGAGAAGAGATGAAGGCAGGACCAGTCAGAGGTGGGATTTGCTGGTTCTCCGAACTACTCAAAATATCCGCTACCGGTTCTCCAGGACTGATCAGTACCTGCTGAACACCACCTCTGAGGGGGATGCTGCAATGGTTGGTTGTTAAGTGCAGAAATTGGTCATACGTCACTTTTTTCAGTGCGGTTGTAACTTCAAACAGTCACTGCTTGTAAGTTGAGGACTACCTGTATCTCCACACAATGTGGAGACTACCAAAGGAAGTCCTTCTTTCTGTTCCAGGATAGGACTTTGAATATGACCGGAGACTGGAACAAAGCAGTCTCTTATAAGCACATTGGATTCATTAAAATATTTGCTTTATAATTTAGATATAAAGGATGAGCCATGAGGCATTTCTGCAAAGAGAAATTCCCAAGAATCCGGTGGAAGAAATTTACATAAGATCCAAAGTCCAACCAGATTAGGAAGAGACCCACTCTTCAGGCCTAACATTAGGCCCAGTGGAGGATAATTCTCAATAATTTCCAACCCTCTGAATCCAAAAGCTGCTAAGAAAGAGACAGAGATATCCCACTGGATGGTGTTTGGATTCAGCAGGGTTGTGAACTCATCTGCACTTATTTACGAAGTCTAGACTACTATTACTATTAACCTTCTCATCACTCCTTATCACCCATCCCCTCCCACTTTTGACTGTATGGCTGTAACTTTGTCGCTTGTATCCTTATGATCTATA